AATGTACACTCAAACCTGTACTAGATCAGATATCAGCTATGCTGTTAGAATGTTAGAAAGATATCAAAGTGATCTAAGAATTGAACACTAAAAAGCTGCAAAGAAAGTTATGAGGTATCTTTAAGGGACTCAAATTATGGTAGTTGTCGTGATAGCTTAAAGTCTATTTCAGGTTTGGTCTTTATGCTAGCAAATGAGACAATTTCATGGAAGAGTGTAAAGCAGTCTATTATTGCCTCATCCACAATGGAGGCTGAGTTTATAGCATGTTTTGAAGCCTCAACTCATGCTTTGTGGTTGCAAAATTTCATTTCAGGACCTGGTGTTGTTGACTCTATTATTAAGCCGGTGAGAATATTTTGTGATAATACTGCATCTGTTTTCTTCTCTAAAAATGACAAATATTCTAGTGAATCCAAACACATACACTTAAAATATTTAGTTGTTAGAGAAAGAGTCTAGAAACAACAAGTGTCGGTTGAAAATATTAGTACCACACTTATGATTGTTGATCCATTGACTAAAGGGTTACCTCCAAAGACATATGTAGAACATATTGTAAGGTTAAGTCTTTTAAGTAATTTATAATATGACAATGGATATTTTAATAGTTGAATAATTGACATTTTGCGCATTAAAGTTTGTTTTTATTATTTTCTGTTTTTAACCATGGGTGCACAATTTAGTATTTAATCAACAAGAAATGTCTTAGCAAGATAAATTATATAGGCTATTTTGGCATTATGGACCGAATTAGTAAAGGATATTGATTTGTGGTGCATAAAAAAAAATATATAACACTAAAGTCATGTGACTACTATAATTCATATTTATAATCTAAATTATTTTAATATTATGGTATAGTAATTTTGGAGATGACTTCCGCATAAAAATTTCTCACACAGATCCATATATTACTAAGGTTTATCAATCATATATAAATAAGTTAGTTATACATAATAATAAAAATTGCAAATCCTTTATTATATATATTTAAGGGTAAATGAGTAATGAACATATTATGTATGTCAAAGGAGACGATGGCGACTTAAAATTCGAGAATGAAATGGAATCTCCCCGACCAATTATGAGAATAAAAAAAAAAAAAAAAAGAAAAGAAAAGGAATATGGGCATGCTAATGTAGATTGGGCCCTTTCCATAATATGGGAAAGACGAACTGATGACCAATCTGCTTTTACATACAACTGGCCCATCAGACACAAAAGTCCATTTCCAGTTTGAAACGGTAGAAAGAAGATGTTACAAGGGAGTGGAGAAATAACCCTGGTGGAGGCGTTAGGATATAACAGCCTAATCCATGAATCCCCCAAACCTCGCCTTTAAAATAGGCACGCACCAACCTCATGCTTAACAAAAAGTCATGACAACTTCATTTTATCTGTCACTCCAATTAAATCTCATTTTCTCTCCTTTCTTCTTCCTCCTCTCTCGCCATTTCTCCAGGTAATTCTTTCTTCTTTTTCAATTTGTATTACTTGATTTTTCTCATCATCCCTAAACGCTTATTCGAATCTCTACCCAGAAACAGATTACTCTCCGTTCATATTATCTGTTTACTTTCTACCTGATTATAATAAATATCCTTGATTAAAACCCGCTCCATAAATTCAAGTTTTATGTGGTTCCAATATACGAATTATATATATTATACATTGAAGATGATTGTAGATTTTGTTTTTCCCACACACATATAAATATGACGGATATCTACACGCATGCAGTTTCGTCTTCTTCGGCTAACAAAGAAAAAAAAAACAAAACGTTTTTGTTTTTGTATATCTGGCATCCAGATATCTTTCTCTTCACTGCAGTCAACGTCTCTGGACGCCTACAAAACCTTCCCTTTATTATGATTTCTCCACCAATTAATTGCAATTTCTTTTTTTCCTTTTAATAAAGTTGAAACTTATTGTGTATGCTTTATTACATATAATGTTTGTACGTTTTATCATTCCCAACACTCTGTGCGTGTGTGTGTGTGTTTTTACATATGTGCAGTATTGAGAACCAATCTTATAATAATTACCATTTAAACTGTTTATCATAATCTTTGATGTACGGTGGATAATTTTAGAAAACATATTTACTACGTTATCCCGTACAATGCATGTATTAAAAAAAATTAATGAAAAACGTTAGAAGGCATATAATGAAGATTGTACGTTAATAGGGAAGATGTGGAGGCAACAGCTGGTGTTTAACATATATAACTGGCGCCATTGTAGAAGATAATCAAGTATTAGTAGTAGATTTTCCATTTAATTAATTAATTACAAATTAAGATAATCTTACATTTTGGTTAATTATATTTTCTTTTACAGGAAAAATGAATGAGATTGAAAATATCTCATCTTCTCCAACCCAAATATGCTATAAAATCCAATCTTGACGTCACACTTCTTAGCTGTCTCTGCTCTTCACGATAACACCCTCTCTGATTTTGATAAAAGAGACAGACTGTGCCACACTAACTCTCCCCCATGCAACTTTTAACTCTATAAATACAAAACCCGCTTTCTTCTTCTTCTTCCCCTTCCCCCTCCACCTTAAATCCATCCCTTACCAATAAAAGGAAAAAAAAAAAAAAATGCAGACTTCAAAACCAGTATCCTTCCAGACCCACAACCACCAACTGGGTCTTAAAGCTTTAACGGTCTGCCATGAAACAGACAACACCCACAATAACTCCTGCATCATGACCTCCGCCATGCTCTCACCGCCTGCATCTTTCTCTTCTTCGTTTCTGATGGGTGATTACATTGGCATGGAGAGCTGCTTCGACCTCAACCACAACCATGACGTCCATCAAACCTCACCCTCTTCTCCTCACCTTCACAAGGATACCGGGGGATCATCATATCGCGGCATGCGGGACAGACGGCCCAGAGGAAAGACAGAATTCCCGCCTCCCATCCCCTTGCTAGCCCGCACCGAGAATCTGACGTCTCACATGCCTTGGGTGCTCAGGAGGCACTACACCACCGACGGACGCCTGATCTTGACGGAAGAGAGGGTCAAACACCACGAGTACTTCCGTGCCCACAGATCCAACGGCCGCCTAACCTTGCAACTGGTTCCCTTGGAGCAAAACCAGGACGACGATGACTTCCCTTTTGACCCCGATGAAGAAGAAAATGAGGATGAGGCTGAAGAAGACGCAGAGAGAGAGAGTATAGAAGATCCTATAGCATGGAACATGGAAGAGGAGGGTGAAAATTCAATGGGGGCCGAGGTGGAAGAACTAGAAAAGAAGATGAAAAAAATGGGGGGATGTGATAATAATTCAGGGGCGGGTGAGGGTTCAATAGAGAAGGGAGGGAATAACAACCTAAATGGATCAGCAGGGAAGTGCTTGAGCTACAACAATGGTTATGTGCTTGGGATGGCTGTGCCAGCAATAAGGCCTGTTCAAATATAAAGGTTGAATTTTTTTTTTTTTGTGGTTGTTTTTGTTTTTGTTTGTTTGGAATATGAGTTGGGTAGAAGAGTGTACAGGCTTAATCAATAAATTAGGCTTGGGAGGTGTCTGTAATTTACTCATGTTATTTGTGTTGGCTTGGTGTGCAATCCTTCTCCTTACGACCACCCTCGTGGTTAGGGTTAATTTGGTTTTTTGGAGGGGTCGGACTGCACACGGCGTTAACACCAAATTTTACCCAGTAATCTCTTTCTAATCATTTAATTTCCTTGTCAAATTAGAATTAGATCGTTCTTATCTTCCCCTTATTTTTCTTTTTTAAGAAATAAAATCAAATTCAAACTCAAACTTAATTATAATATCTGAATTTCCCTTAAATACATTGTTCATGTTTTAAAGATGATAAAACGGATTTTACTTGTTCTTATTTATGTATATATATATATATATATATATATATATATAAAGTTTATAAAACGTGTTGGGATTTATATATAAATCTAGGCAATAATATAATTAGCTAGTTAAGTAAGACGTTTCAAATTCAATAAGATCACATGCATGGAACCTGAAAACAAGGTTCGGTCTCTTACAATCAAATATTTTATAGCTTTTTTACTTGTCAAAGTCAGATATTTATTATATTAAAAAATAATCAATAATTAAAATATTTTTTATACATAAAATACATATTATATCTTATGTGAAATTTTATGTGATTAGAAATAATTACGTAGTCTAGTCTTTTTTACATAGCTAATGCATTAACTGTAGTAGTAATATTTAATGGATAAAAATTATTACACACATGTGTGTGTGTGTGTATATATATATATATATATATTTTACAAAAAGAATAAAACTTAGTATAAAAAACAGTTTGAATATTTGAAATAATATAAAAATTAATTTAATATTACATGTGAAAATGAAAATAGTTCAGACATGTTAAAAAATATATACTTTTTTTTTTGGTCCCTATCTGTTGGAGTATACATTTTGGTCATGCATTTTCTGTTGCCCATCACCTGAGTTTCATTTATAAATTAATAGTTTCAGTAATGATCAATTCTACTTATATATATATATATATATATATAATACTAAGTACATGGTTATATGGAACAAAATAAATTAATTTTATTTAGGAAGCTGTCTCCCAAGTTAAGTCAAATACAATAAAGCATGACTGAAGTTCAGTTATCAATTTATTGAAGTATATGGTAAAAATTAGTTAAGAAATTTAGTAAATAATTTTAAACAAATATGAAGGAGAATGTGAAGAGTGAGAGAGGAGAATTTCCAAGAAGTGGCCAGTCGAGTTCTTCCAGATCAATTATGAGTAACATAAGAACAATGTTCTAATCATTAATTTTTTATTACTTTATTCAAAATATGAAAATTTGTTAATATATAAATGGATTACCATAATTAAATTAAATTTTAGGAGGATTAATTTTTTTTCACATGGAAACTAGCTTTTTGTTAATATATATATATATATATATAGGAAATCATGATCTGTAATGCAGCTGGGTATAAATATGAATATGATGGAGGTGGAATACAGCTAGGCAGCCATCCATCTCATTCCGCCTCTTCCTCAGTCCTCGCCCACTGCCACTCATTCTAGTTTTTGCAGCTGGCCGGTGCGTCTACCAATGCTCCGCCTCAACAGCCCAACCCCACTGTGTATTAGCACAGAATAATGAGTATTCGATTGGGGTACCCTCGTCATCATTGTTGGATTTTCGGCTTGAGGGCTGTTTGCATTTCGGTGGAGAAGGATGTAACACCCCAACTTCGGTATGAGACACAATTCTTATTCTTATTATTTTTTTATAATAAATTCATAAAATATATATATATCATTTTAAAATTTTAACATACAATTTAATATTTTATGTGATATATACAATAATTATATATATAAAATATGATATTAAAATTTAAAATTTAATAAAATAAAGTAAAATCTTTTAAATATGCACAAAATATACATAAATAGAAATTCTTTCACAG